CTGACGCAGCACCTGTTATCAGCAAGAAGTGATTGGATGGCCAGTAGCAACTGGTAATTGGTCCCATATTTTCGCAGACAGTCCCATACATTGTTGCGAGGGAACCGGTCATAGGCTTTCTCTAACTCAATAAAGCACATGTTCTACAGATGGACGAACTCCTACGATTTCTCAACAGTCTGGCATAAAGCACATATCCGATCAGAAGTGTTTCCTCTAGGCCGAAAGCCCCATTGCTCTTCTTATATCTTGGAGTCAGTTATTACACGGCACCTCCTTTCTAGCACCTTTGGGTAGACTTTACTTGGGAGGCTCAATATCGTAATGCCCCTATAATTGGAGCATTCTTTGTAATCTCCCTTCTTGAATATGGGCACAATAACTACAGTTCTCCAGTCCGCTGGTATCTTTCACGTAGTCATCGCAGTTAGACACACGAGTAAGTTAGCACTGCCTTGTTCGCCTAGAGCCTTGAGCATTTCAGGGTGGATTTCATCAATTCCAGCAGCGTTTCCATTTTTCAAGCTTTCCACAGCTTGTGTAATTTCATCTGAGTAGATAGTAATATCCGTTCCCTGTGCTTTAGAGGCGAGTCTTCCCGCGGTTGCTCTGGGTTAAGAAGTTCCTCAAAGTACTCTCTCCATCGCCGAAGAAAGTCACCATCCTTGGTAAGGGGGTGTCCAGACCTGTCCTTCAAGACCCTTAGACTACCTTTTTCTTCGCCTCGGAGCCGGCGATGGTCTGCCAGAATACCTTGTTTGTCATGTGGAAATTCGACTCCAACACCTCAGCGAACTTCTTCCAGGAATCAGCTTTTGCTTTCGCAGCCTATACGTGTCGCACGCAAGTATAAGGCTCTTTGTTTCCAAGCCAGTTTTTGAGCGCTGTCTTCTACCTTTTAACTGGAAATTGTACCTATCGTGTCCACCAGGAAGACCTTTTCTGACCTCCGGATAGTAGGCCAACCGGTTTAAATCTGCAGCCGCGTCGAGTTTGCCGCTTTTGAACAGCTGCCACTCGTTTTCTACATCGGTGGTCATTAGCATGATCTGTTCAAACCGTCGAGCGATGTTTGCAAATTTTGCTCTCGTGTCCACCGAGGATAATGTTTCCCATTTGATTCTGTGGTTATTTCTGCCACCAGATCTTCGTATGCGTGCCAACAATACGTACGAGTACAGCGTGCCAACAACAGGATACTGATCGGTTGATTTTTCTGCGCCTCTCTTAACGTAAACATCCATTATCAAGAGTCTTAAATCAGACGATACGATTATCAAATCGATCATCGACTTCTGTGCACAAGCTTCCCTGTACCAGGTATAACGATGCAGTCCCTGATGGTCGAAGAAGGTGTCGGGGTCGGACTGTCCGTTGTTTGCGTAGGTTCATGCCGTCATGGTTGAGTTCGCTAGGGCCGTTTTTTCCAGTCACGCCGTTCCACTTTTCAGCGTCTACCCCGCTATCCGCATTAAAATCGCCCATGAGTATGTTGAATTCCGTATCCGGCACTTCGTACAGACCACGCTGAACTAACTCAAGGAAGGAATCACATTCTCCCTCTAAATTGGTCGCATAGACCTGTAATAAGGTGACCCATTTAGACTGTTGTAGCTTCGGTCGGATGATTGCCGCCCTTGTGCTGACAGGCTTCCAATCAGTGATTCTGTCTGCAAGGTTGGGTTATATCAGAACACCAGCACGAGCCTGAGCACGCATCGTGATATCGAACACCTGGGTAGAATAGCTTCCACACTCTGAGGTTCAGGATTCCAGTGCCTTGGCTTTTCGTTGATGAGAGCCCAACAATTTCGAGTTGTTATTTTATGGCCTCATTAACTGTTGCTCTTTCTCTCTGAATGA